GGCTGTGAATTATTCATGTCCTTTGAAGTATACAACATATCAATCACAAGAACATCATACAATGGCAGTTAGCAATTCTTTAATATCTATCACTATGGGTTGACTTATCTTAAGTATCTACATTTAGACAAGTTTTCTTGCCATCCGTCAACAAGGACGGGAACGCTGGCTCGATTTTCAGCTTCTAATAATCTCGCAACTAGCTCAGTCCTTTGATAGCCACGCCTAAATTTAATTAAATTCTTCATAGTAGTCACTTCTTGTTGTCTAAGGTACGATTGGCTCCTAAATTCAGAAGCAGATGTAAGAAATATCCCAACATTAGATTCATCACACTCCGAGTTCTCATCCTCTTCTTCGATTATCATGTTTTGTAACTTGGGATACAGTTTCAAGGAGAGATCGAATATACTAAGACTCTTTCCCTCTGGTTTCACAGAGATTCTGTTTTTATTATTCGGATCAGTGACTTTGATATTAGTTTCTGTTTTGACACTGTTTAGTTTTTTCAACAGTTCCCATTTACTCACTTTCACTGGGCTGCTTCCCTTCTTAGTTGTTTCTTTACCAAACTCTTCTTTAACAGCAATAGTTGGAGTAGGTTTACTACCCTCTGGTTTCACAGAGATTCTGTTTTTATTATGCGAGTCAGTGACTTTGTTATTGGTTTCTGTTTTGACAACAGTTCTTAACAGTTCACATTTACTTTCTTTCACTGGGCTGCTTTCTGTTTTAGTTGTTTCCTCACCAGACTCTTCTTTAACAGAAACAGTTGGAGTAGGTTTACTACCCTCAAGTTCTACAGAGATTTCGTTTTTATTATGCGAATATCTTACTTTGGTATTAGTTTTTGTTTTGACACTGTTTAGTTTTCCAAACAGTTCCCATTTACCAACTTTCACTGCAGGGCTGCCTCTTTTCTTAGTTGTATCCTTATCAAAATTTTCTTTGGCGTCATTCGTTGAAGTAGATTTACATTGTGATAGAACCCTTTTATGACCATTGCTAAGATCCATCTTTTTATGATCAATGTTAAGTTCCACCCCATGTTCGCTTGTGGTTTGCTTTTCTGTGGCCCGTGGTATCGTTTTACTTATTAAATCACGTGCTGATGATGTAACGACAGTTTGCTTATCACATGCAACACTTAGCTTGTTGTGTTTATTTGAAGTCCAATTATTTTCTTTTCTAGCAAAATCGAACTGTTTATATTCTACGGTATTCGAGGAAACATCTTCTGACAAGCGTCTTTTTGCTTCTTTTTTTTGATCGGATGAATATTCGTGGACAACTGGTTCAGAATTCCTTCTAGATACTGCTCTACAACCATGCAAAAAGTTTCCAAATTTAGGATGGTCTTCACTTGTGTACCCCTGCATTTTAGAAATTTTATGTATATCTGGCCATTTTGTTACAGTGCTTGTAGTCTGTTCTACCAATGAATCTGTGATTCTTGTGGTCTCTTTAACACTGGGCAGCATTGATTGATCAGTACTATTACTGGTTATCAGATGTCTCCCTGTAAATACCTTCTTCATAGTTGTGTTACCAGAACCATTGGGAAGACTTGCGCATTCTATTGAATGCCTCCGACAATTTCTGTCATTCTCCTGTGACCCTGAATTGGATAAGTCACTCCCCTTCGCTTCTAGAACACAATCCATTGTCTGAAGCCTCGGTAAGATTTGTTTTTTCTTATTGTTACTGTTCAATTGAAGAGTCCGTTGATATTTCAGCTTAAATCTGTGCATCTTGAAGTCGTAATCGCGGAGGCTTTGTTTTCTTTCATGGTCAATACTCTTGATGACCGTCTTCAGTTCAACAGACTTTTGGTTAGAAAATCGTTTAATGTCCCCCTTAGACTGAACGCCCATTCTGTTGTATTTCTTTTACTAGTTGGTGATTTTCAAAGAAGAACCTGCAACTGTTCAAGTTATTGGAACATATATAATAAATGTACATGTACGACAAATTTATAAACTGTGTGGATTAAGAGATTATAATCCGTGGTTGTTTTAGATTAAAATCGGGACAGTACAATTGAGGTTAGTCCGTATAAATCAATTAGTAACCATTTAAACAGACGTTGTTAATAAGGGAAATCTAAATCGAGACAAATTTATTTGATCCATCAACGTTATTGTTTAAGCAATCTAATAGTTTTTAATCTTTAAGCTTAGATTATTAAAGAAAATCAGTGAGAGAGTACACACAGATTAACAAGTTCACCTGATAATCTGTAAATCCCCATTCACCAACCTCAAGTAAAAAATAACCTGGATCCCCCAACGAAGTTACCAGGGCCGTAAAGTGTACTTTTTAATAAATAGTATTGTTGTGGTACTAAAATGTTTGCTGTTCTACAAAGATTAATCTAACCTGTATTTTTTTAAACCCCGCCAGGACGGAGGGCCTGACAAGGACAGCTGTCTAGTCATTCGGATGAGACGAAAAACCGAAGTCCCGTGTACACATTGGCGTGCACGTAAAAGATACCTTGACAGTTGGAATTCGATATAAGAGTAGGCCGTAGTGCCGCTGTCCGGGCAAAATTTCCCTCATAGCACACTGTATGGCGTATGCCCGTCTTCATTAGCCCAGTTCGGAGCAAAACAGTAGGACGTTAAACCCCATTTCATTTCATTTCATTTAAACCCCGCGTTAAAGCTATAACCTTTGAACTTGACTTTTAATCACAGTAACGCACTACTCTAATTTGACTAATCCCGCTGTATATGGGTTAGCAGTTGATGGGGGTGGGTACAACACTATGCCAAATCGAGCAGTCGATGGGGGTGGGTACAACGTACGCTATACCTATCGGGGGTAACCACTGTACTAGTGTGAGACACTGATCGAGGGACTGGGGTTATTAATCAATATTAGCTAGCAGTTTTAAAATTTTTGTCATATTACTAAATATATGCAAACAAATTTTAAATGCTCGCACCATTCGAATAATAGTTTGAATGAGCCAATAATCCAGTCCGAATCAGCGAAGAATTATCTGGTCTGAATCAGCCGATTACCGCCTTTCCTGGTATAAATAGCAATACCAGGTGGGAGGGTGGGGTTAGAATTTCTAGGAGCAACTTTGATAAAATTACACTGGTCAGGGTCAGGGTATGGGGTGAAAACCTACCATTATGTTCTTTTAAGATACAAATCACATACACGAGTTATGCCCTTTCTCCCGAGTGAACGTGAAACCCCGATTTTGGCACAAATCAGACTTTTCTTTAACTAAATTGTTATTTTGTGGTTTTAAAATCTGAATTTTGGAGTTATTGGGTGTTATTTTGGAGTTATTGGGTAATTCGACGCGCGGGGCATGACTGTCCATTTCCGCACCATTACAACATGAATATATTGAAAAATTCAATTAAATTTCTTTATTCTGAGCAGTTGTTAGTGTTTGAAGATGTAGCGTAGATTGTTTATCGTAGCAATGGTACTTGACAACCGTATATCTCGACCTTCCGATGATCTAGAGATTTGATTTTAGACGTATTATGTGAATAAATAATAGTTTATATAACATTTGAAGTTAAAATAAATGATATGAGGGTTAACGCCCTACTATTCTGCTCCAAATGGGTTAAAGTTACAATTTCATATTTTTAAGTTATATTTTTAAAATGTATTAAAACAAAGCCCTAAAATAGATGGTATCTATAAACAGTCCTACCTTGTTAAAGAATAATCCTATTAATCCTATAATTCACTATTGCAAGATTAGAAATTGGCAGAAATATCATTTTCAACTTCAAATTTAAACGTTTGAAGATAGCTATTCCATGATGGGGAATAGGAAAACAAGGGAGGTAATTGGGAGGTAATTGTGTTATTATTTCCGATGTGAAGATTTTTAAGTGTGAAAAAGACAACCCATGATCGTATAATAGTGAGTTGACAACCTGTTGAGCAAAAGACATAGAAATAATTATGTTTTGACTTTCTTGGAAAATATGAAATTGTAACTTTAATGAAGATGGGCATAGGTCATACAGTGTGCTATTTTTGGTCGGGCAGCGGCACTATGTCCTACTCTTATATCGAATTCCAACTGCCATGGGATCTTTTATGTGCATGCCAATGTATACACGCGACCCATCCGAAAGATTAGACAGCTGTCCTTGTCAGGCCCTCCGTCCTGGCACTGAACAAAGCCCTGGGGCGCCACATAGGCTTGTGAGGACTCTGTATTAACCACGCAAACAGTTTCACTTACAGCCTACTATATCATAATGTTAGAGTACTTCGTGTCCTAGGCTTGTTCAATGTTAGGTCTCCGTTAGCCCAGTTGGAGCAGAACAGTAGGACGTTAAACCTCACTTTATTTCATTTCTACCCAATGTCATGGACGCGGTGTGGATGGATGCAGTGTATATTGTTAGAGAGAGAGAGAGAGAAATGGGGTTTAACGTCCACTCGATACAAACTAGGTCATTTCGGGACAGGTTTAATTGTTTTATTTCAATAATTTGCTTGCGCGTATTGGTCTTTAGCAGTGGGAGGAAACCAGAGGACCCGGAGAAAACCCACGAGGTTGGACAGGCGACCCTACTCCTTGTCACGGGGAATCAAAACCCGTGTATATTGTTAATAATCGTATAATTCTAAATATTTTTAAATACCCAGAAAAAACAAAATATAGTGCAGAGAGAGAGAAAGAGCGATCGCGAGAGAAAGAGCAATCGAAAGGGAGAGAGAAAAATGGGGTTTAAGTTCACTCAACACAAATTGGGACATTTCGGGACTAACATATGGTTCAGTTTTATTTCAATAATTCGCTTGCGCATAGGGGTCTTTAGCAGTGGGAGGAAACCTGAGGACCCAGAGAAAACCCACGATTTTGACAGGCGACCCCTACTCCTTGTCACGTACAACCGGTACAACTTCATATTTAAAATTTAAATGAATTCATAGAAAATTAAGAATATTAATGAAAATTTAAATTTTTACAAAACAGGGCGACAAATACAGGACCAAACTCTAGATTGAATAAATATTTTTATTTGCAGACTACATTATTCCTTTCTCACAGCTGAATGCAATGTGGTTTAAAGTTTCATCAACGTAACACATTGGTCATTTTGGGACAAACATAAGGTAAATTTCCATTTCTATGGCTGCATGTGCCCTGCGTGGCAGGGAGTTGCAATGTTTGTTTACTATTCTACCAATTCCAACTATCACAGGTTCTTTTATATGTATATTGGTAGACCTCAGTTTCTCATCCCATCCAAACAACTAGACACATTTTCCTTATCAGCTACCCTGGGCCCTTATTAACGAAAACTTAAACTAAGATACAATCGAAATTTTAAGAAATACTGCAATTCAATTGGCTGACCAGTAAAATCAATTTGCATATATCCAATTTGCATATTGGTCAGCCAATCGAATTGCAGTATTTCTTAAAATTTCAATTGTATCTTAGTTTAAGTTTTCGTGAATAAGGGCCCAGACGGACTAACATACAGTTTAATTTTATTTCAATAATTTGCTTGTGCGTAAGGGGTCTTTAGCAGTGGGAGGAAACCGGAGGACCCAGAGAAAACCCATGAGGTGAAAAGTGAGAATGAATGAATGAATGAAATAGGGTTTAATGGCCTACTGTTCTGCTCCGATTGGGATAAAGACGGACATATGCCATACAGTGTGCTATGAGGGAAATTTTGCCTGGGCAGTGCACTATGGCCTACTCTTATGTATCAATTTCCAACTGCTAAGGGATCTTTTATGTGCATACTAATGTATACATGGGACGTCAGTTTTTTGTCCTATCCGAATGACTAGACAGCCCTCCATCCTGCACCACAGACAAGGGGAAACCACATCAGAAATTCCCAATGAACTTTCTCGGCCAATGCAGGGATCAAACACGTGACCTCCAGACTAGCGAGCCCGCCCCTTGCCCACTTAGCCATCGTGGCTCCCAAGAAGTTAGAAACAGACTTCAAACATCGTGGGGGGGGGGGGTGGAACATCATGTGGGTGGAGGGCTGAATGGTTAGCACGTGCGTCCTGTATCATAAAGTCTGTCATTGAGTCGATCAACAGGCGTGGTTTCGAGTTCCCTGTTGTACGTGACAAGGAGTAGGGTTGCCTATCCATCTTCATGGGTTTTCTCTGGATCCTCCAGTTTCCTCCCACTGCTAAAGATCCCTACTCGCAAGCTAATTATGGAAATAAAATTGAACCATATGTTAGTCCCAAAATGACCTAGTTTGTGTCAGTGGATGTTAACTATCTCTCTCTCTCTCTCTCTTCTCTTCTCTCTCATCGTAAGGATTCTTCTGGAACCACATCAGGATTCAATTCTGCGATATTATAGTAGAAGAGACCAGTACCCTATAACTTGACAATCACAACCCCTGATCAGCTGAGGAACATACAGCTATTCTTACACAGTCATCTGCCAATCACTCGTCAATTTGAACAGATGAAGTTGACAGTTTATTAGATCGTCTCAAGACAAAATTGAAATTTCCTTCATTTATAATTATCAGCCGGCTAAAATCTTCAGTTAAAATTCACTTTATTTTGATAAAAAAAAAGAAAAAAATTTGCTGAACAGAATTATTGTTTTTCAATTCTATTTTCTTATTTATTGGACTACACAAATCTCCAGTTTTAATAAACTTTTCAAACAAAATAAAACCTCTCTTTTACTTCCATTCAGCGAACATTTGTCAAACACAAGTTTCTCTGCCACCACAGTTTCTCTATTAAAACCAAGTGGTTCAAGAATATAAATCAGGCGCTGGTATACCAGACGTGTCACACATGTTAAAATATACCACAATACAGTTACAAAAGAACATCTGATTGGCTGCTTTGTATTCGGCAAGGTCATAGGTCAGATCATCTAAACAATTTTCGACCGTGTAATGACCTTTAGCTGCAGGACAGTAAATACCATCTGAAATATACAGAGAGAATAAATAGAACAAGTATTATAAAGACCTGCCAAATCTCAATAATAATTGGGTTTAACGTCCTACTGTTCTGCTCCAGCTGGGCTCTGAAGAAGGGTATACGCCATACAGTGTGCTATGAGGGAAATTTTGCCTGCGCAGCGACACTATGGCCTATTTTTATATCGAATTCCAACTGACAAGGGATCACTTACATGCATGCCAATTTATACACCACTAACAAGGGGAAACTATGTTGGAAAATCCTGTTGAACTTTCTCGGTCAATGCAGGGATCGAACGCGCAACCTCCCGGCTCTCGAGCCAGCATCTTACCCACTTAGCCAACGTGGCTCCCCCTCATTGTAAATCCAAATTGTGATCCACTGTAGAGTGCCCTTTAAACTCAAACTGTGATCTAATGTAGAGTGTCTTATTTTAACTCAAACTGTGATCAACAGTAAACCCAATTTTCTATCACTAAAAAAAGAATGTTATGCTGTATATCAATTAACATTAACAAGTAAGCATATAAAATGAAACAGATGAATTAACAAAACTATACCATCTGACCTCTTTCTATTGAAAGTCCCAGACAAATAATCTGATTTTATGACATTACAAATGGAAGCTATTGTACCTTTTTTATCATCTAGTAGTTGTCTTGCATCGTATAAATCAGGACACTGTGATAACATCCGTAACCATGGTATATCTGTCATAATCTGCCATTTACTACCATTATCATTGTTACCTGCAATATAAACCATTATCATTGTTACCTATAATATAAATCATTATCATTGTTACCTATAACCAACCCATTATCATTGTTACCTATAATATAAACCATTATCATTGTTACCTATAATATAAATCATTATCATTGTTACCTGTAACCAACCCATTATCATTGTTACCTATAATATAAACCATTATCATTGTTACCTATAATATAAACCATTATCATTGTTACCTATAAATGATTATCATTGTTACCTATAATATACTATTCAAAAAAAGTAGGGGATATTTGATTTTTAAGTGTTATTAAAGTCACCTAATGAAACTGACGAAGAAACAAATGACAAAATGAAATGAAGTTCACATTCATCGATTTATTCCAAATGATCGTTAGACTAAGTAAGGCACAGACTGACCATTATAAGGGTAAAATGATACCCGGGGTCAAACAGCAAAGTTACCACAGCATCACAACCAAGTCAGTAACGGGTAAATCCTCCTCTGTTTGCCAAACAAGCATTGATCCGACGTGCCATACTCCTAATGAGACGTCTAAGGTCATTTTGGTCCAGATTGTCCCATTCCTGTTGCAACGCAGCAGCAAGTTCTTGGACATTGGCAGGACGTTGTTGACGTTGACGTAACCTCTGTCCAAGCATGTCCCAGACATGCTCGATGGGGGAGAGGTCGGGACTCAGTGCTGGCCAAGGTAATGTGGTGATGTTCTGTTGTTGGAGGTAACCTGTAACGATCCTGGCCCTGTGACATCTTGCGTTGTCATCCTGATGACGTTAACGTCTTGGAAGCGCTCGTTTCGACGACGCCACACCCTCCTACGTCTGTCCAAAAAATCAACAGTGAACCTTGACTCATCTGAAAACATCACATTGCTCCAGCGTCGATTATCCCAGTGTTGACGATCCCTACACCAACGACGTCTTGCCTGAATGTGATGATCTCTCAAACAAGGGATCACGCGAGGACGTCTGGCGCGAAGGTGACCCCTATGCAGTCGATTCCGAATCGTCTGGCCACTCACTCTCACACCAGTGTCTGTTTGAAGACGAGCGCTGATCTGATTTGCTGTGATGACACGATTTCTCAAGGCCAAGGTACGGATAAATCGATCCTGGGCTTGAGTTGTCGCCCTTGGTCGACCTGAGCGTGGTCTGTCCTGTACAGATTGTGTATCACGGTATCTGGACCATAGCCTGCTTATGACAGACTGAGAAACATTCATCGTCCGCGCCACAACCGCCTGTGTTGTGCCGATCTGTAGCATGCCAAGGGCACGTAACCTTTCATTTTGGGTAAGCCAACGCATATCAAAATTTATTTTCTGGTCACTAAAACAATTAAACTGATGTTTCCACCCTGGAATTCAATGCCACAATGACTGTAACATTCAAAGTCAGAGTCGTGCAAATCTTGGGTTGGACCCCCATGATGATCCCAAGCATCACCTGCATTCCATGCGGTAGCTATTGTTGCGTTTGGGCGTCACATGTAACTGGAAATGTTTCTTCTGTTAGGTTCTATAGTGACTTTTTTCGTAGTCATTTGCATATTTTAGTATTATGCCCCCAAAATCAAATATCCCCTACTTTTTTTGAATAGTATATAAACCATTATCATTGTTACCTATAATATAAACCATTATCATTGTTACCTATAAATGATTATCATTGTTACCTATAAATCATTATCATTGTTAACTACAGCCAAAATCTACTGAAAAACTATAAAGATAGGTTGCCAGGCAACGAAACATATGCCCACAGCAGCTAAATCGTCCGTGCAGTCAACAAGAGTTGTCGCATATTTTTACTTTTTTCGGTAATGAAACATTTATAATACACTAAAATCTGATTAAGAGCAACAACTCAGAAAACCAATAGAATTTGTTTGGTTTTTATAAAGTTCTGCCCCATGCTAACGTTTTGTATACAAAACTTTTAATACTGTATCATGAATTTAGCTGCTCCAAGTCATAAAAATTAATTGAAAATCAATATACTTGTTCGTCTCAAGATCTTAAACTCTGTGTATCAATCTGCAGTTAATCGGATATTAACTAGTGATCAAGGGCCATAACTTTGGCAGTAATTTATTAGAAATCTTTGAAAATCAAACCTTAAACACTGTGTATAAATTTAAAGTCAATCGGATATTAACTTTAGACTCTAGAGCTTCCACAAGATTTTTCAAAGTGATCAAGGGCCATAGCTCTGGCAGTAATTAACGTAAATTGCTGAAAATCAATAGGATTCTTCGTCTCATGACCTTAAGCACTGTGTATAAATTTAAAGTCAATAGGATATTAACTTTGGCCTCTAGAGAGTCCACAAGATTTTTTTGAAGTGATCAAGAGCCATAACTCTGGCAGTAATTATCAGAAATCGCTGAAAATCAATAGGATTCTTCGTCTCATGACCTTAAACACTGTGTATAAATTTAAAGTCAATGGGATATTAACTTTGGCCTCTAGAGCGTCCACAAGATTTTTTGAAGTGATCAAGGGCCATAACTCTGGCAGTAATTATCGGAAATCGCTGAAAATCAATAGGCTTCCTCGTCTCATGACCTAAAACACTGTGTATAAATTTAAAGTCAATCGGATATTAACTTTGGCCTCTAGAGCGTCCACAAGATTTTTTTAAGTGATCAAGGGCCATAACTCTGGCAGTAATTATCAGAAATTGCTGAAATTCAATAGGTTTCTTCGTCTCATGACCTTAAACACTGTGTATAAATCTAAAGTCAATCGGATATTAACTTTCGCCTCTAGAGTGTCCACAAGATTTTTTGAATTGATCAAGGGCCATAACTCTGGCAGTAATTATCGGAAATTGCTGAATATCAATAGGCTTCTTCGTCTCATGACCTAAAACACTGTGTATAAATTCAAAGTCAATCGGATATTAACTTTGGCCTCTAGAGCGTCCGCAAGATTTTTTGAAGTGGTCAAGGGCCATAACTCTGGCAGTAATTATCGGAAATCGCTGAAAATCAATAGGATTCTTCGTCTCATGACCTTAAACACTGTGTATAAATTTAAAGTCAATCGGATATTAACTTTGGCCTCTAGAGCGTCCACAAGATTTTTTGAAGTGATCAAGGGCCATAACTCTGGCAGTAATTATCGGAAATCGCTGAAAATCAATAGGCTTCTTCGTCTCATGGCCTTAAACACTGTATATAAATTTAAAGTCAATCGGATATTGACTTTAGCCTCTAGAGCGTCCACAAGCAACTGTGGGCGCCGGACGGACGGACAGACGGGGGCGACGACAATATACGACCACATTTCAATGTGAGCGTATAAAAATGCACCTCTTTTATAAATGGCTGATTGTAGATCTTGTTTGAGAGATAAACTCTCACACAGTACATCAAATTTAGATCTTAAATGGCTTCATACATGTAGGTGGTAGTACTAACAAAATATTGCTGTAAGCAGGAGAACCATTCACTACAGACTGTCAAAATTTCAACACTTGCCTCGAAACAAATAACCTGCAGATAGATTTTGCTTGACCTACCCGTGCCAAAAGATGCAATATGTAAGAGCCTAAATCTGCTTATTACAGGTCTTTCTTTTCGCTTCAAATGTTATATAAATTATCATTTAAACATTTATTCACATGACAAGTCCATAATCAAGTCTCTAGGTCATCGGATGACTCTGATTTCAAGTAGATTAGAACTCTTCGGTCGTTTAATGATTTAATTTTAAAATGCACACATCTTGTCAAAACTACAAACAGTGATAACTTCGCTCAGAATAAAGTAATTTGAATGAAATTTTCAATATATTCCTTTTTCATTATCTATTTTGAACTATTATAGCTAAAGTGGCCAGTTCTGTATCTAAAGCTTACATAATTTATATTTAAGAAAATGTTGACACTGACTGATTTTGATGCATGTTAAAGACAAAATAACTAACATTTAAATTTAGTTAAACTCACCCACCCTGTTCCATGAGTTAAACTCACACACACTGTTCCATGGGTTAAACTCACCCATCCTGTTCCATGGGTTACACGCAATTGTTAAAATTTTGCACAACTACCTAAATTTTATTACTATACAAATAAATTAAACATTACCTTGCAACCTGTAAATATCACGTTTCCATGGATACCTATACGCATCTACTCTATACCAACTAGTTTCTGTAAAATCCATAGTTCTCACTAAATCTCTGAAAAAAACCCAACAAAAACCATGGATACTGACAGAATTCAACAGACACAGAGACTGTCAGATGTGGTGCGAGTATTACAGAGTTGTTCTCTTGTTTATAGGAATACCACCCCTGTCCGTATAATCGCACAAGTCTGATACCAGAACATTGAACCCATTCCTGGAAAACCTGGAATATCAATACTGACCATGGGCCATTCTAGAGAAAAATAGGGCTTTAACCCTATTTCATTTCATATTCCTTTCTTTCAAACACGAAACAACCCATCAAACAAGCGGTTGCCATGCCCACATTTTAAAAGAGATGGACGGAGAACAGGGAAAAACGATTGTCCCATTGCCCACATGGCTCTCTCCTCCAATGTGACTACCTGCCCATCCCCCCATTTAATTAGCACATACTTACGGGTTCATTCCACTGAATAAGTCTAGCCAATTAGAGACTCGTATTCTGTTATATAATGTTTGATTAGGACAGGAACTATAGTCGTATACAATACACAAGTGATATCCTATATCTGGCTGGTGAAATAACATACTCTCAAAATCTCTCTCATCAAACTATAATATATAAATATACCCTCATCAAGCTGTAATATATTCAAATAAGGTTTGTTTAATTCTCAATATATGTCAGACTAAAAGATAATCACAAAGACTGGACAACAATTCTTAAAGATACATTATGTAAGATTTAGATAAAGAACTAGCCATTCTTGCTATAATAGTTCGAAAGTAGATGATGTAAAATGTATAATTTGAAAATTTCATTCAAATTACTCTATTGCAAGCGAAGATATTAGCCTTTGAAGGTTTGACAGATGTGTGCAATAATTTCAACCACCGTACTGGTTGATCGAAGCTAAGTCTCAGTCCTCCATATTTGATTAAATCAAAGTATCGCTGAACTATTCTAATCTATTTAATATCGGAGAAATCTGATGCCATCGAGAGTTGATTAAGGCCTGGATCAGTTAATTAATGTCTAATTAATACTTTAGAACACATTTCAGGCCTAAAGAAAGACCTGCAATAGGCAGATTTAGCTCTTGCATAATGCATGTTTAATTTATTATTCAAATTTTTATCAGTGATAAATGTAGTTAAACTAATCAAACTAAACTGATTGGGAGTATTTGAAAAAGTTCAAAGTTTCTTGTTAAGCAGAAAATAAAACATTCAATAAATGTCTATACAGAGAAATAGCACATGTTTCTGTCTCTTAGATACATGTCAGCCATTGAAATTAAAAGGCATCCACTGTGGGTCCACTAACCTGATACATTGGACGTAAAAAGATAGATCTATTTTTTTCACTAATCTGATCACAAACTTCGTTAACAAGATGTGTCTGGTCGAGTTTAGGACATTGATGAAAGGAAGTTTTAGATAATTTCGGGGCGCTGTATATCGTTACTTTCTTCAAAACACGACAGGCACTCCCTGTAATAGTAACAAGTATAATCATAAATATTTCAGTAAAATTAAGGAATTTTATATCAAGCAGAGATAGATAGTGGGAGAAAAATAGTGAGAGGAAAGAGAGACACACAGGAAGATACATTGAAATTGAAAAGTGGTATATTAACATGCAGCAAACCAACCTTTATCCACTTTCAATTAAATTTTAAAAACGTAATCTAATTAGGCTGACCTTAAAAATATCTTTGTTTCGCCAAACCCGACCCACAATCGAGGAGAAGGGTCGGTAGGTCGGGGTTTTTTTTCAGATTTTTTTTTAAAGAGCTAATTTGACAGCTTGATAATTTTCTGGGGGGAAACATTCGTCTCTTTTTATTGTCAAACAAATCAATGAGTATGACATCGGGATTTTTCGTGATGCACGACTCTGAGACTCGCACACGATTTGCCACGAACTCTAAGTGTGAAACCCCTTCAACACGTTTTTAACGATCGTGCCTTCATTTTTCTCGAAAACGGATATTGAAAATATCTTCGTCATGTTTAAAACGACGCCACACAGACATAGAGGCAGAATCATTTCGTGGGAATGGACGTGCTTTCGTCTGCAACCATTTTGTTGAGAAGCGACACCTATGACGCTTTCGTCTTGATCAACCAGTTTCAATAATGAATCAAACCATAGCCATAGTAAAGGGAAATAACTCTTGTGATATATTTCAGGTTGACACACAAAATAAAATAAAAAGATCGCGGAAAAGTGCAATAAAATAATTTAAGTCGGGGGTGGTTTTAGTTAGTCAGTCGCGTTAGGCGAAACAAAGATATTTTTAAGGTCAGCCTTACAAGTATACATTTGAAGTATGATTGAAGCAAGAACAAAAAAGCCGTACTGAAATTGAACCTTCAACACTATCTGTATGTACCATTAAATGTGATAGGCCACATCCAACAAAACACCACTTGCCAGTTTGCAATTTGCAATTAAAGGGGGTGGGGGTGGGGATTTTTCCTGGACAGCCATTTTTCCGCCCACTTCACTTTTAATTTCAACTGCCAAGGACTCATTTACATGCACATCAATGTGTTCGTGAACAAGTGGACCACACTAGGGTCAAGTGAGAATCAGGCTTGAAATATTACAAATGTTTCATTTGTATGAAAATATAATCACCTGTTATAAATGTTAAATTTGGACATTCATCAACTATTAGATCTGTTATTCCTACCATGTGTAAATAAACATTAACTAAACTATTAGACCGTAATATCAGCACCTGAAATATATATACATTGACTGAACTATTACACTGTAATATTAGCACCTGAAATATATAAACATTGACTAAACTATTAGACCGTAATATTAGCACCTGGAATATAAACATTGACTGAACTAATATCAGCACCTGGAATATATAAACATTTGATTGAACTATTAGACCGTAATATCAGCAACTGGAATATAAACTAGTACATTTTATTTTTCCATACTTCAAAAAATAACAATCTAATTGAAGAAATCATACTTTCCATTTCGTCTCGCAGTTTAAATAGCCATGGAGAACTATTGGAGTTAGAATTTTTAAATATTTATGCAAGCACCAGTGTCTAGACTACAAAAAACTTATTCCTTATCCAATCCCTATAAAACCATTTAAGAACTATTTGAGTTTGAATATTTGCATGAGCACCAGAGCCAGGATACAAGTCAACATGTCTGATTGGTTACTACCTGTATATGGCGACGCCTTCTGACATGTGATGCAAATCCACATGTCTGATTGCTGATTGTTTAATGGCGAAGCCTTCTGACATGTGACATGAACCCAGTGTTCTGATTGGACATTTACCTGTATATGGTCATCTTCTTTAACAGGATCACTCGTACTTGTTGCTTTATGATGCATGTTGTGTTTACGTCTCATCTTCACAGTCGAACGATTTTGCGTAGGTTTTACCTTTTTACCCGATTCATCTTCCAAAACAATTTTAGGATGAACTGTTCTTTTGAGTCTCAATGAACGTCTGGTTGATTGTGATTTATTAGAACTTCCAGACTTTTTCTTCTCTGCTTCAAACTCTTCTTGTGCTTTGAGTGTAGCTTCGCGGATCTCTTCACTGACGGCTTGACAAGATTTATTGCACGTTACAGAATCCACAGCTAGATCTGACGCTAAATTTAATTTCCTTTTTATTAATCCCTTCTTTTTTCCTAAAAGACTTTTACCTTTTTGAACAGTTAATTTATTTTCGGAACTGTTACTACAATCTTTGTTGTCATGGATACTTTGTTCATTGGAATCACACTGAGACTTGGTGGTTTCGTTTTGAATCGCTGTATCATTAGTAATAGAACTACATGCACCTTCTGCAGGTGTACATAAATCACTACTCAGACCAGATTGTGATTCAGACCGCTCATTAGAAATTTGACAAGAACATGGCATGTTTAAAACATTTCCTTGTGCCATTGCTGTGTTGTAATCTGGCGGTGAAATGTCCATTGTGTTCGAATTTGTATTTAAATTATCACTAAAAGAATTGTTTGAATCATATTTCCCAGGATTTGCACTCAGATTATTAATACTATTTTCATCACTGTATTCCGGTGGAGGTACATTTTTAAATTCTGCACCATGACTGGAACCATTTTCATTTGTATTGTTAGCATGACTAGCACTATATTTTGGTGGAGGTTTACTAAATAAATAACAGGGGGCATTGCCAGCACTATTTTGAACCGTAGATGAAGTATCCTGTGATCTACATGATGAAGATGGGCCTGAGGCTTCACCACTACTAACAATACTGTCTGATGACTTTAGTTTTGGAGGAGAAGTTGACCTACATTTAACAGAGATTATTTTAACTGATTTTGTTGGTCTTCGGGATTCAGGTGAGTGTATCTTGCTTGAACTTTTCACATTTGACACTTTGACAGTTTTACAAACTTTTCTTTTCGGTGAGTGACATTCATTCTCATTCCAATGACTACACCCTGGCTGACTGAATTCATACGCCTCATTATGTTGTTCGGAGTTATCCCCCTTGTCACAGGAAACAGACGGACAATCTTTATCGTCATCTTGATCAGCTTCTTCTTTGATTAGATGTGCATAAAGTTCATCAAACGTATTTAAATTTGCATTTCCATTATCACTTCTATCATTGGCTGGTATTAGTTGATCATTATCTTCAATTTCATTGGATGGCTGAATAGGCAAATTAGGATTAGGTATAACGTCTGGATGTAAATTTATGTGTTCTGCATTCCCATTGGCTGCTCTGTTTATTTCATTTTCATCATTATTATTATCAACACCGTCAACATTATCCTCATCGTTGTTTAAATCTCCGCCGGCTGGATTCTGAACGATTCCGTTGCCATTGTTCTGAACAAAAGCAGACGAGACTCCTAGACCTGTCCCAGCACTCAGTCCAACCCTTAAAATATAAATAATGTTTAATATCAATATTAAGTCACAATATCTAAATACATGTTTCGCACGTATTTAAAACAAGAGAGATAAATAGTATTTTATACATGTACACAGGCGAATAAAAGTATTCCATGCCAAATTTCATTTAGTTTGCTAATGACATAGAATGGAAAGGTGTCATTTTGAGACTAACATATGGTAATTCTTTTTTATCCATCGACACATGTACATTGCAAGTGGGAGAAATTTGCCCAGGCAGTACCATTTCCTTCTACTCTTCTTCTTCAACTGTAGCTCAGTTTTCATCCAATCAAAATGACTGGAACACCCTCCTCAGCCCCACCACAGAAAGTTTCCTAGGATATCCCCACAAGGTTTCCTGGTTAAGATGCATTGTCTAGTCATTTGGATGGTCCAAAAACCCAAAGTCCTATGTGTATACATTTGTGTGAGCATGAAGAACCCTTGACAATTTGGATTTGAAATAGGAATTAGTTGTGCTGCCGATGTGCAGGCAAAGATCCTCATATCAGTCATCATACAATCCAGGATTATAAATATTTTTTCAATAAAAACGAAATATGTTGAATCTAACATGAATCTCAGACTATGTATGGATCGAGCTTCTACCTACCTGGCACATCCTTTTGGTGGTTCTCTAAACATAAATTCTAGATGTAATGTTTCGAGACGGGGCAGATTACTGATCCAAGTTCTAAAGTCTGGTAATCGGACAGCGTGACAACGTCTCAATGTTAAATGTTGAAGATAAGCCCAGGTTTCCACACCTGAAATTTTCATAGAATTCATTTTACATTTTAATCCAAAAGAGATAGCCATAGACATCATCAGCTTATCAGAAAGGACAACTTGGTTGACCAAATTTGATAAGGATGCCTTAAAAAATCTGATCTTTATCAGGTTCACAAGCCTGAAAAAAATATGTTAAAGATAGGTTGCCAGGCAACGAAACATACGCCCACAGCAGCTATATCATCCGGGCAGTCAACAAGAGTTGTCGCATATTTTTACTTTTTTCGGTAATGAAACATTTATAATACATTAAAATCTGATTAAGAGTAACAACTCATTAAGTAATTACCAGAAAACCATTAGAATTTGTTTGGTTTTTATAAAGTTCTGCTCCATGCTAATGTTTAGTATACAAAACTTTTAACATCATGGATTTAGCTGTTCAAGTCATAAAGATTCATGAAAATCAATATACTTGTTCGTCTCAAGACCTTAAACTCTGTGTATCAATCTGAAGTCAATCGGATGATAACTTTAGCCTCTAGAGCGTCAACAAGACTTTTCAACGTGATCAAGGGCCATAACTCTGGCAGTAATTATCGGAAATCGCTGAAAATCAATAGGCTTCTTTGTCTCATGACCTTAAACACTGTGTATAAATGTAAAGTCAATCGGATATTAACTTTAGCCTCTAGAGCGTCCATAAGATTTTTCAAAGTGATCAAGGGCCATAACTCTGGCAGTATTAATTGGAAATCGCTGAAAATCAATAGGCTTCTTCATCTCATGAGATTTTTCAAAGTGATCAAGGGCCATAACTCTGGCAGTATTTATTGGAAATCGCTGAAAATCAATAGGCTTCTTTGTCTCATGACCTTAAACACTGTGTATAAATGTAAAGTCAATCGGATATTAACTTTAGCCTCTAGAGCGTCCATAAGATTTTTCAAAGTGATCAAGGGCCATAACTCTGGCAGTATTTATTGGAAATCGCTGAAAATCAATAGGCTTCTTCATCTCATGACCTTAAACACTGTGTATAAAATTTAAAGTCAATCGGATATTAACTTTGACCTCTAGAGTGTCCACAAGATTTTTTTAAGTGATCAAGGGCCATAACTCTGGCAGTAATTATCGGAAATCGCTGAAAATCAATAGGCTTCTTCGACTCATAACCTTAAACACTGTGTATAAATTTAAAGTCAATCGGATATTAACTTTAGCCACAATTGCTTGTGGACGTCGGACTGATGGACGGACGGGGGCGACGACAATATACAACCACATTTCAATGTGGGCGTATAAGAACTGTAGCCTCTAGAGCTCACATGATTCTCAGGGTTGTGAGTGTGAAAATCTGTTACATAAGGTTGCGAAACGCTGAATATCATACAGGTTCGCCCTCGGATGTGGCCTCTATCAAGTTCGCACGTCAACTGTTGACAGACGGATCCCAATGCTTTACACAAAATTTGGCCAAATCTGTTAAAAACTATAGCCTGTATCCCTTCACAATGTTTCGAAAAAAGGTTTTATATCTCTGGAACAGAAGATCTTGGAATGCTGAATATCAATTCGAAGCAGAGTTAGGTGTGACGAAGGTGGGGGGTAAAAATGTATGATATTCATACCTGGTGTAAACCATGTACTGGGCTGTAATAAATGCGGACAATTGTAGATCTCTAATTGGGTAATATAAAGAAAGGTTTGACCAATCGCCTTCATTCCATTATCTGTTATCATGGCGGGACTTTCTGGTGGCCCATTCAAATCTTCTAATATCACTTTCTCACCTAAATTTAAAAAAGAATTGTTTGTTATGTTTAGTGGTAATAGGTGTTCTAAAATGAGTAAAAATATTCAAGGAAGGAATCATTCCAATTTGTAATTGATTTCAGATCTGCTTTCAACCAAAGAAGTGACAGCAAAAAATGAAATGAAATGAAATGGGGTTTAACGTTCTACTGGGCTAATGAAGGCATACGCCATATAGTGTGCTATGAGGGAAATTTTGCCCGAACAGCGGCACTACTCTTATATCGAAGTCCAACTGTCAAGGGATCTTTTACGTGCACGCCAATGTGTACACGGGACCTCATTTTTTTGTCCCATCCGAACGACTAGACAGCTGTCCTTGTCAGGCCCTCCGTCCTGCATGACTGACAAGGGGGAACCACGTCAGAAAATCTGGGTGAACTTTCTCGGCCAATGTAGGGATCGAACACCCAACCTCCAGGCTAGCGAGCCAGCGTCTTACCCACTTAGCCAGACAGCAAAGAGAGAGAGGAATGAGGTTTTACATACACTTGACACAAACCAGGTCATTTTGGGACTAACATATGGTACAATTTTATTCCAATAAGCCTTAAGCATTTGGGCAGGCTTGTCATTTACAAGCTTCAGATCGAAATCACACCCCTTGACTCAATGACAGACCACATGATCTTAAGCACACATGTTAGACTACTTGACCCTTCAGGTGAGCGTTTGAAAACACCCGTGCTAAAATGTCAACCTAATCAACACACAGGTGCCATTTTATATTTATGGTTCAAATTTCAAAAATTAAAGGCATGAAATCTACCTGATTCTGTTATAGGATCAACATAACCTAGATACAGACTTCGAAAATTATTAAACTCTACGTCGGCCATTTTTATAGCGGAGAATAGACTATCTTTAGTTAAAGATGGCTGAACACTCAGTTCTTTTAACCTGAAATTAAACAATGCAATATTTTATTTACTCTATTTGATTTCATTTTGAACATTCTACTTCAATACAATTAGAAGTAGAGTTCTTGTGTTACAGAACGTGTGAGACAGATGGACAGATCCAGTCTGATTAGATGAACTGTGTTATCGGTAAAACTAATATTGAAAACTTTTAGTAATGACTATCAGAATTTATACACACATGTATAGTTAACATTACTACATGGTAAATTGTATTTTTTATTGACTGTAAGTGAATTTACTTTCATATGAAATAAATCCCACAATTCCGCAATCTGTTGGCAGCATTGAATCACAAATATTAAAAATGAATCAATTTCTTGGACATATTTCATAAAATGTAGGTAAAAGTCTGTTCATGGCAGCTATTTTCTACTTCGTTTATAAAATTGCGATTGGGAATACATATACATATAACGCGTCTTGGGTGCTAATGATCTCAGGACATGTCTATTGGACAACAACACCACTCTAAATGCGAAAGAGGATGTGTTTATTTCCAAAACACCAATGTGCGGCAATAACACAATTATCGGACAATATCGATGTTGTAACCTATTTTGATAGAAGCTTCTTTCTAGGATATTTACCTGTTAGCAGCAGTAATAAGTAAATAACCAAGGTCTAATTCCAGAGCGTTTTTACATCCACCAAATATAACCGTAGTTAACATTCTAAAACCTTGTGATTTCCAACTATCTTCTACAATATGTTGTAATAAACCACCTGTAAAATACATAGAAATAAAATAGGTTTTAACATCTTACTTTGCTAATAAAGCCTGTCATTGAGTCAACTGGCGTGGTTTCGAATCCCCAGTTGTACGTGGCAAGGAGTAAGGTCGCATGTCCAACCTCGTGGGTTTTCTCCGTGTCCTCCGGTTTCCTCCCACTGCTAAAGACCCCTATGCGCAAGTGAATTCTTGAAATCAAATTGAACTATATGTTAGTCCCGAAATGACCTAGTTTGTGTCGAATGGACGTTAAACCCCATTTCTCTCTCTCTCTTACTTTGCTGCAGCAACCAGTCTAATGAAGACAGTCGTGCTGTGTGTTATATGGGGGACATTTTGTCCAGACAGCAGATACTAATAACTTACAAGTATTTTTCACACTTTGATATAATACTTACCCAAAAATGGAACTTTTACCATTTCTAAGCGACTCATTGGTTTCGCAGCAGCCAGGGCAGCTAACATTTGAACATAACTCAAGGTATTCTGTGGTCCGGAACAGTTGGACATTACAAATGTGTGTAGATTAGGAACAAGAAAATCCCTAAAAGGGTCTGGATGAGTAATCTTCACCATGCGGAGATACAAATAAACAACACTCTCCATTTTAGGAAGTTCTGATATAACAATGCCAGTGAGATGAAGGGAGGTTACTCTAGGATTTGCTGTCAAATTCAAACGACTGCTCTCTAGTGGAATTGGCTCAATCCTGTTTTTGAAGGTTCCAATAATTTTCATATCAGGAAAGTAATTTAAAATGGCACTAAGAAGAAAAATGTTGGAAATTTCGATCCCTTTCAGTTTTGGTGCTAAATTTAAAGCTGATAATACGCCCGGAATGCTGAGACCCTGTTTATTTTTTCCACGCTGTCGTCGTTCGGATATATAAATCGGATGAAAGCCGTAAATAAACCTCAACTCATTGCAGCGGGGAATCAAACAATACAAATCATCGTCTGATATCGTGCTTGGCATCCATCCCTCTAGCATTCCTTCTGTAAAATTAATAGACTTCAATGTCTTAAGATACATGGTGACGGCTTGCTGCATCTTTTTACACTGACAGGACATCTTTAACACATCCTGAAGAGGGAGGCACTCTAATATTTTACATATTATTTCTAATGAAAGCAACTTCAAATAATCCTGTGTTAATGGTTGCCATGGTAAACTACATGTTGTAGATAAAGATTCCATGTCTAAAATAAGTTTTTTCTCTACTAACTCAGACATTTTAAACTATTTTCTAAAAATTTATCATGTTATTTTGTATAATTAAATATTGTTAGTTAGTGCTCTTCTCTTTTTCCGCTTCATCTCTTGGCTTCTGTAAACCTGTATTTAAAGAAAATAAAATAAATTTTGTTATTCAAAGAATTAAAATGAAATGTAGATTATTTTTATGGTTCAAATTTTAAAATTGAAGAAAAGAAATCTACCTGCTTCTGTTATAGGATCAAAATAACCCAAAGTTGTTTTTGTTTTTGTATTGCACAATTCTACATGAAAATATTAATTATAGTGTTGGATTTTTATAAATTTGTGTCGGATATGGCAAGAATTAATGATTCATTTAGGCGATCAAAGAAGAATCACAGTGAAAAATAGACGGTAAGGATTCCAAAATAGCCTTAGAACTGAGATGGGGGAAAAGCCTTATTTTCATAATAGTTCAGTTGTATACTATTATAGACAACTCGTCAGTAACGTAATACTAATAGTAATAGGAGACTCTAAGGAGAGCAGAGACATTACGTTACTAAAGTAACTACATTAATTAGCGCCAACTGTGACATATTTCACAGTCGATATTATATTACGAGGAAGTCTTTAGCACACACGTTGTTCAGTAAATATTTATACTGTTTTACCTGGAAGTGTTCTTGATTGAATAAAAGGTGAACCTTGTCTTAATCCAGTATTTATATTATCTTTATTTCTGTAATTTGCCCAATATTGTTCAATTATGGGCATAAAATAAACCACAGGGACTAATAGTGCGACTGTCCAACCAAATATTTTTCTTTTCATATATACACTGTCAAACTTCATCTTTCCTGCTAACTTTATACTTAATACTAGTTTTAACTTAAATATACGTAGATTTCATCATTTTCTTTCAGCGTTTTAATATCAACACTACAATAACCTTGACCTTGAAACAAAATCTTCCGGTTTCAGAAAACACGTGGTTTTAGTGTTCGATTTACCAGACGCTTTTCTCCGTTTCTCTGCAATTACTGCATGATTCTTCAGACGAGTTGTTTATGTCAACAGGACAAATCAAAAGTAGAGAACTGCGCACATGTGAACAGTTTTGTAAACGAATGTCACAACCAAATGCAATAATTAATAACAAACAGGTAAAAATGAAAATTACCAGCTTTGCATTCTGATTTTTAAACCTGGAAATTAAACATTCTTATGATATTTGCAAAGGAAGACTCATTTTAAAGCTTGCTTGCTGCTAAATTTATAAGTTCTATTTAGCTTTTTTTAGCGCCATTTTCTCTACTTTCATTTTACGTATTGGTATGTAAACTGACAGATCTGTAGGCCTGTTGTTATATTTCGATAAAGAGAATAACAGAATTTTACAGCTTGACATCAGGGTAGATTTATATAAAGCCGAAGGTCAGTTCCCGATTCACAAAGCATTCCGAGACTTAGTTAAGAATTGACTTTCTTTATGAAACTTTTGTTGTTTCAAGGTATCAAATACATAAGAAACTGTGCAAAGTTCTGTTTCTGGATCAAAAATATTTCTCATAAGCAATGATTGAAAGTTGATTAGATTCTTAACTTAAGGTAGCTAACTCTAACTCAGTATCTTCCAAAGTCTTCGACATTGAAAACACGAATTTAATTAAATCAACATTAATGTTTTGACCGGGAAAAGATGGGCCTCTGATATCCAATATTTAAGACAAAATAAACATTTTACCATTTCAACTTGAATATGTTTTTAAGTCAACGGATAGATAACTTTCATTTACATATATTTAATCAACTTTATCTAGATTACAAATTTGGTCTTATTTCTTTTTAACGGAAGTACAGCAAGAAATAGGACAGTGTTTTGATCGATTATGTTTCCAATTTAACTTAACTCAGTGAAATTACTACTTGTCACTTTGTAAAGTGCCCCTGAACATGTTATATGAAAGGGCGCACTATAAATATGCTGTAATAATAATGATAATAGTAATAGTAGTAGTAGTAGTACACGAACTGTGTACCATAATGAGTTTCAGCATCATTTGTATTAAGAGACTTGAAGAACGTGGCTAGACATATTCCACAAGTCATGTTAAACAGTGACGCTATATTCTTATCTGGAGAGCATGCTCAATAAACACTATTGGTGTAGACTGGAATAACCAGATGCTAGAGATTGCCATTCAATTGAGACTTTATTCTGGCGTATTTCGCCGAACATTACTGATTAGAAATTACAGTAAAAACAGAAACGATTGAATGTAAATAAGTTTATATACATTCATATATTACATTATTATATTCCAATAGGTATACCAGTTGGAGCAAAGGGTTGCCCAAAATAGTGACCCACTTGTGTCAGACTGATGAGGAATGAAGATTGCAATTACATTAAAATTTGCATGTGATATTTAGCCCTCGAAAGATCATATTTTCATAAATTATCCAAAGTTTCTGAAAGCTACGCCTCATTTGATTGTCATCTTTATGTTTTTAAAAAAGTATTTTTAGGATTTCAGTGATTTACAGTGAAACGTTTGTGGCAAGATGGCATCGAAACCTCAGCCAAGTACCATACGTAAACTGGAAGAGGTGGTGGTGAATCGTATTGCTGCTGGTGAAGTCATACAAAGACCAGCAAATGCCTTGAAAGAAATGCTAGAAAACAGGTAGGTATATAGCAGAATAATTGTTCAAACTGTGAAAATATAGACATGTTCCCCCATTCTATTTTTTAAAAAAAATGTCCTAATTTAAACTAGCCTAAAGGGTGCATTTTTTTTGGAGAAAATATTGATTTGTGGAGGAATTTGTCGAAAACGTTTTTCTGGTCATTGTTGTGATGACAGTTTTCTCTGAATTTTAAGAGTGGTAAATCATTGTGCCCGCAGCCGATCAATTTATGTATTTTAGTTTAACGGTTAGAGGGAGGCAACTCTCTTTATTAAAAAGGATGATGTAAGCAAGCGGGAAGCGTGCAAAAGAAAGATGGCGAAGTAAACAGCGGTCTCAAACTATTTGAAACCGTTGTCAACGGTATTAACGTTAAAGTTTTCCTATAGATGCTCAATGCTTATGTCACACGGTTAACGGATATTGAGTGTCGATGGCGAACTGTATAAGCTGCTAGTTTAAGGTCTCAATTCGTCGTGTCTATGTGAAAGGCTAACGGTAAACAAGACATCGGCTATTGAGTATTGGTAACGGCATGGCTGCAGTTTCAAGTTAAAGGGACGGTGACGCGTTTCAATACCGCTATGTACAAGGTTTAAGGTTTACTTATAAATCCTATGGTGGACAGAATAAAGAAATTTTATGGTTTAAATGTATTTACTTTATCGAGTTTACGGCCACCATATTAGTTTCAAATAATAAAAATTATTGACTTCTCGCCATACATACGTATTGTCAAATGGTTGAAATAGAATAGCCGCTCATATAGACTGAATGAACGTTGTAAAACTGTTTCGTTTAATGGTTATTAAGTGACTTTCCATAGATTAAAGTGCATGACACGTCCTATAGTGTTTTGATAGTTTGTCTACAGTCAATTGTCGACAGTTTATCAACATGCCATGGATTCACGTAAAGACTTGATAATAGAACTTCGTAATAACAATAATGAAGATACGGTAGCAGAACGGGATAGCGATGATGATAGTACTTTACACACCAGTTCAAATAAATCAAGGCACACGAAGAAAAGTCACAAAAGTTCAAATTCGTCTAGTTCGTCAAGATATTCAAGTTCTATGATCCGAGCAAGGGAAAAGGCCAAAGTTGCAGAACTGCTGACTGAACAGGCGATGTTGTCTAAAACTCAACAAATTCAGAAATTAGAACTTGAAGTGAAAATCGCTAAAGCTCAAGCCAGAGAGAAGGCTTTCCGTGAAATCGTTGATGAAGATAATGTAAACAGATTGTCAAACGAATATATTGTTCTTTCAGAAGTCAACGGATCCTCAAGTAACAGTGATCATTCTAGTACGGTAAAACCAAGTGATCGTCCACATACAGCCATACCGCCATTGATACATGTAAATGATAAACAAACAAGTGCAAGTAATTTAAATCAACCCATCTCGAGTACACCGCTTATTTATCGTCAACCGCGAGAGCAAACCCTGCCTAACTGCACAAAGAATACCACACCGCAAGGTCAACGTCTTAACCCCACAGCCAATGAATTTCAACCGACAAACACTGAATGTTTGGATTCAACACAGTTACAGACAAGGTCAAACGAAAATCAGAATGCTACAAGCTCTAATATTCAACACGATGTGGTTTTGATGCATAGACAATTAATGGCTGCAATGACATTACCTCAACCGGAAGTAAATAAGTTTAAAGGCGACCCGATAGAATACACGCCATTCATTAAAGCCTTCAACGCAAGGATTCGGTCTAAAGTCTCCAACAGTGCCGATTGTCTCTATTATCTTGAACAGCACTTAGAAGGAGAGCCTAGACATTTAATCGACGGATGTTTACATCTAGATCCCGAAGAAGGATTTGAAGAAGCGTTACAACTTTTGGATCAAGAATATGGCGACCCATACAAGCTTTCAATATCGTACACAGACAAAGTTCTTAATTGGTCCTTAGTTAAAGAAGATTCGTCAGCATTAAAGAAATTTTCTCTGTTTCTCATCAAGTGTAGAAACGCCATGAGTAGTTTATCTTATATGTTAGTCTTGAATCACCCACCAAATATGCAGTGCATTGTACAGAAACTCCCATACAGTCTTCAAGCAAGATGGAGAGAACGTGTTGTCCGAATGCGAAAGGTTGAAATGAAAACTGCATTATTCACTGACCTGGTAGACTTTATAAAGGATGCTGCAGAAGCTGCAAACGATCCCATATACGGTAAAGACGCTTTGGTGAAATCGAGTTCAACGAACAGTCAAGCTACTAAACCACATTATCAGCATAAAGATTTACACGGACATGGTAGGAAACCGTTTATACCCAAACAGAAAAGCTTTGCTACAAATACGAGTTCAGTATCGTCGAATTCCGGGTGCTCAAACGAGACCGGGTACAAAAATCAGTTATCAGAAGTTGGACTAAGCTGTAAACTTTGTAAGGGCGCTCATGGTTTAGATAATTGCCCAACCTTTGCGAAGGAAACAATGGAAGATAAGAAGACTTTCTTGGTAAACAATAGACTCTGCTTTAGTTGCTTCGGAACAAATCACATGGCTAAGGGATGTTTACAAAAGGCCACATGCAGTAAATGTCAAAAGAAACATCCAACAACTTTACATATTGATGGATTCAGTCTTCAAATGGTTGATAATCATCTTGAATCGTCTAAGGCTAGTGAAAATACAGCTAACTTGATATCAGATGTTATTCCTAAAACAGTGTGCAATGTAACCAGATCAGTAAACTCTATTATTTTACAACCCATCCTTCCAGTACGTTTACAGTGGAAAGATAAAATGGTTATTACGCTTGCCTTTTATGATAATGGCAGCAGCGGTTGTTTTCTACTAAAAGACACCCAGACGAAATTAAATGCCAAAGGAGTCTCAACGAAAGTACAACTGGGCACCATGCATGGTCAAGACATGTTAGACTCAGAAATGATAAATAACCTGTTGGTGCTTGACATCGATGGCAATAATGGAATAGAATTACCTAAAACGTACACAGTAGGTGAAATACCCGTCACACTCTCACAGGTTCCTACACCAGAAATCGTTAGTAAATGGGAACACCTTCAAGATATAGCAAAGAAAATCCCTCAACTTATTCAAGGATGCGACATTGGGCTTCTCATCGGTAGTAATTGTCCCGTAGCTCTAGGGCCGTTAGAAGTAAAACCTAGTGAAGGAAATGGACCATTTGCTATGCGCTTGCCTCATGGTTGGACCGTGTGTGGGCCAGTTGCCGTAGAAGAATCTTTGTCAACAAACGAAGTCTCAGTAAAT